TAGTATAAATAATGATTACAACTCGACTACTAATAGTTATCATCATCGCACAAATGGTGATAGTAAGAATAATAATGCGAATGAAACTAATAATACGAATAATAGGAATAACAATAAGAAGAGAAAGCCGTGCACTTCAGATGTGCATTTGCACGACGGTGGAGCAAGCCGCTATAGCACAGATCCTTCGCGTACTAGATGGGGACCGGCCTTTCGGCTTTGGGGGGTCGTGATAGTATCTGCTCGATTCCTCGGATGTTCCCTGTTCGGGGCCGCTTCTGTGAGGATCGACGGCGAGGCACCGGAGAAGATTCCAGGAACCACAAGCGACACAAACGCAACGTCTCGGAGGTCCGCGCGGTTCTCGTGCATCGGATTGCTTACGTGTGCTGCGGATCGGCGGCGAGGCGCAGGGGAAGAAGCGACTTCTGGAATCGGGAGCGGCCATCAGGAGGAGGAGGAGGAGGAGGAGGAGGAGGAGGAGGAGGAGGGAGATGCCTCTGGCGGCACTCTTGCTGTCTCCTGAGGGCCTCGAAGAAGACAGATCAAATCTGCACAGCCATCGACTTTCGGAGCTCCGCGTGGATCTCTCCTGGATCTGCGCGGGACCCCCTGTGGCGGCACCGACGGCGGGGCGCCGAAGATGCTTGGCCTGCTCGCGAGGGTCAGCCTTTTGGGGGATCGGGGAAAGGTAAGCTCAATTCCCTGGGTGTCCCGTGCTCGGGGCCGCTTTTGTCTCAAGACAATGGTTCTCCCTGGTTTTTCCCAGAGATTTCTTTGGATCTGCTTCGCCAGGACCAGTGGCCGTCTCCGTTTTCGGTTCTCTCAGTTTGCCCTTCGCTGACTCTGACCCGCAGGAGTCTGACTCCCGCTGAGCAGGCGAACGAGAAGAATATCAGCCAGCGTTGACTCCAAATAGATAGGAGGACAGGAGGAGGACGAGAGGAGGATGGGAGGAGGACGAAATAAGGACGGGAGCAGGACGGGAGGAGAACGGGAGGAGCAACATCAAGCAAACGCAAGCAAGCAAGCGGACGCAAGTAAGCGCAAGCGAGCAATAAAAAGCAAGCAAGAGCCAGCGATCAAGTGCAAACAAGCAAGGGCAAGCAAGGGCAAGCAAGGGCAAGCAAGAGCAAGCAAGCGAGAGCAAGCACGCAAGAGCAAGCAAGCAAGCGCAATTGGAAGAGGGGGGGGCATTGGAAAAAGGAGGGTGTCATTGGAAAAGGGGGGGTGCAGGTGCTGAAGACCAATTGCGTATGAGGAGCTAGGACTCCTATAGCGCAAACTTATTTGGATAATAAGCACAGTCTCTTACATCGAGGGCGGCCAGGCGAGGGATGATAACCAGGGGGGATGGATCTCTCAGGGCCAACGTTGGCGGGGGGATAGGCTCAGGCAGACGACGGACAGAAGCCGTACGCCCACAGTCGCGTCGGCAGGAGCAACATGATCCATGAACTCACATATGGGGAAGAGGAGGACGCACGAAGGAGAGGGAGGGACGCACGACGAGCGGGGACGCGTGGCGAGGCGGAGCGAGCAAGAGGGGAACGAACGACAGGGAGGGGGGGAAGGGGGACAGGCCCAGGGGGGACGCAAGTGCTCAGTCATCGCCGATGAGGGGCCTGACAGCCCGCCCTGCACAGGAGCGTGCGGTTTCGCCGGTCGGCGACGTTTTCGCCGATCCCGGGCCAACGTTCCCCCCCCCCGGGCCAGGTCCCCCCTGACGTCCCCCCTCGATATCGCGGCGGGGGTCGCGCAGTCTTCCTGGATTTCGTGGCCCCCTTCTCTTCTTTCCCTGCGCCCCTTGGCCCCCCTGCGCCCTCGTCCGCGCATAATTATGCGTCGGGTGGGCCCCATCCCTTCTCTCACTGCGCCCCTTGGCCCCCCCCCCCTCGTCGGCGCATAACTATGCGTCGGGCCATGATCTGCGGCACCCCCTTTTGGGCGCTCCCCTCTGGGACATCCCCTCTGGGGCACCCCCTTTTGGTCAACCCCCTCTGGGACGCCCCCTTTTGGGCGCCCCCCTTTGGGGCACCCCCTTTTGGGCGCCCCCCTCTGGGGATGAAACTCGGACTTTGTCTGCGCGGATCTCGTGAATCTGCGCTGGACCCCACGGCGGCGCCTCCTCGCGCCATGGAGAGGGGTCCAGCGCCGATGCAAGCAATCCGCGCGGACCTTTCAAAGCCCACATGTACGCAGTTGTTTTTGTCTGTCTGACTGTCTTCGTCTTCGTCTTCGTCTTCCTCTTCTTATGCTTCTTATGGTTCTTCTTCTTATTATTACTACTATTACCATTATTAGTATTAGTATCATTATTGTCCTCATTATTATTATTGTTATTAGTGTTATTATCGTTATTATTATCATTCGTATTCTTTTTGTCCAGAACTCTTCTTCTTCTTCTGCTCAGTGTTCTCCTCATGCACTCATTTTCCTCCTCATCTTCCTCTCTTTTTCATAGAAAAGCCATTATCCCGGCAACGCAACCTAACAGCGATGTGTATAAGCATATCTGGAAGCATTCCCCTTAAGATTCAGGTGATAATCCAGTTGTAGAATTCTGCAGTTCTCGCAGTCGCAGTCGCATTCGCAATGACAGTCGCAGTGGCAACGGCCTTAGGATCCAATGGAATCCTAAGGGATTCCTAAGGCATCCTTGGGCATCCTTAGGAATCCATAGGAATCCTAAGGATTTCTAAGGATTCCTGAGGATGCTTAACTATGCCTACGGATTCCTAAGGATGCCTACGGATTCCTAAGGATTCCGAGGGATTCCTAAGGATTCCTGTGGATTCCTACGGATGCCTCAGCTTGCCTCAGTTTCAGCCTCAGCCTCAGCCTGCCTCGGCTTGCCTCAGCCTCAGCCTCAGCCTGCCTCGGCCTCCGCCTCAGCCTGCCTCAGCCTCAGCCTCAGCCTGCCTCGGCCTCAGCCTGCGTCAGCCTCAGCCTCAGCCTGTCTCAGCCTCAGCCTCAGCCTCAGCCTCAGCCTCAGCCTCAGCCTCAGCCTCAGCCTCAGCCTCAGCCTCAGCCTCAGCCTCAGCCTCAGCCTCAGCCTGCCTCGGCTTGCCTCAGCCTCAGCCTCAGCCTGCCTCGCCTCAGCCTGCCTCGGCCTCAGCCTGCCTCAGCCTCCCCTCCTCCCCCCCCCCTTCCCCCCCCCATTCAGCCTCACCTTGTCTCAGCTTCGGCCTGCCTCGGCCTCATCCTCAGCCTCAGCCTCAGTCTCAGCCTCAGCCTGTCTCGGCCTGAGCCTGCCTCGGCCTCAGCCTCAGCCTGCCTCAGCCTCAGCCTGCCTCAGCCTCAGCCTCAGCCTGTCTCAGCCTCAGCCTGCCTCAGCATCAGCCTCAGCCTCAGCCTCAGCCTGCCTCGGCTTGCCTCGGCCTCAGCCTCTCAGCCTCAGCCTGCCTCGGCCTCAGCCTCAGCCTGCCTCAGCCTCAACCTCGGCCTGCCTCAGCCTCAGCCTGCATCAGCCTCAGCCTCAGCCTGCCTCAGCCGCAGCTTGCCTCAACCTCAGCCTCAGCCACAGCCTCAGCTTCAGCCTGCCTCAGCTTCAGCCTCAGCCTCAGCCTGCCTCGGCTTGCCTCAGCCTCAGCCTCAGCCTGCCTCGGCCTCAGCATCAGCCTCAGCCTGCCTCAGCCTCAGCGTCAGCCTCTCAGCCTCAGCCTGCATCAGCCTCAGCCTCAGCCTCAGCCTGCCTCAGCCTCAGCCCCAGCCTGCCTCAGCCTCAGCCTGCCTCAGACTCAGCCTCAGCCTGCCTCAGCCGCAGCTTGCCTCAGCCTCAGCCTCAGCCTCAGCCGCGGCCTCAGCCTCAGCCTCAGCCTCAGCCTGCCTCGGCATCAGCCTGCCTCAGCCTCAGCCCCAGCCTGCCTCAGCCTCAGCCTGCCTCAGCCTCAGCCTCAGCCTGCCTCGGCCTCAGCCTGCATCAGTCTCAGCCTCAACCTGCCTCAGCATCAGCCTGCCTCAGCCTCAGCCTCAGCCTGCCTCGGCGTGCCTCAGCCTCAGCCTCAGGCTGCCTCGGCCTCTGCCTGCCTCGGCTTCAGCCTGCCTCAGCTCGGGCATTCAAGATATGGCACAGGACTGGTGTTCTGGGAACGCGAAGATCACGAAGTGGCCCACAGTTGGCTCTGGGCAATCAAAATATGGTACAGGAATGGCGTTCTGGGAACACGAAGAACACGAAGTGGCTTGCAGTTGGTTCCGGGCATTCAAAATGTGGCCTGGGAATGGTGTTGTGGGAACACCAAGAACACGAAGTGGCTTACAGTTGGCTCTGGGCATTCAAAATGTGGCCTGGGAATGGTGTTCTTGGAAGACGAAGAACACGAAGTGGCTTGCAGTTGGCTCCGGGCATTCAAAATGTGGCCTGGGAAAGGTGTTCTGGGAACACGAAGAACACGAAGTGGCCTACAATTGGCTCTGGGCATTCAAAATGTGGCCTGGGAATGGTGCTCTGGGGAGGAATCCATAGGAAACTATAGGAATCTATAGGAATCCTGGGGAGTCCCCCGAGTCCCCAGATTCCTCCGGATTCTCCCGGCATCCGCCCAGACCCCCCTGGGGAGTCAAGATGCTCTCTTTTGAGCCCACTAGAAGCCTATTAGTCTTCGCTGTTAGGTAAATATTGTTTTAACCATTACCAGAAGTATGTTTCTTCTTCTGCTTCTTCTTCTAAATTCTTCGCAATACATTATTCGTCTGTTATGTTCTTCTTCTTCTTCTCCTTCTTCTTTTTCTCCTCATTTCTCCATCTTCCCCCTCCTTCTCGTCTTCTTTTTCTTATTCTTGTTGTTATTATCATTCCCATTATTTCTACGGTTACTAGAATTTGGCTTCTTCTTCTTCTGCTTCTGCTTCGTCTAGTTTCCCACACTATTCACACTATAGATTGTTCGTCTGTCATTTTCCTCTTCGTCTCCTTCTTTGTTTTCTCCTCTAATATTCACCTTCCTCCTCCTCCTCTTCTTTTCCGTCGTCTTCTTCTTCTTCATCTTCTTCTAGAGGCAGCCGAGGCGGCCGACGGGGCCGCCTTCCTGCGGAAGGTCTGCGAGCGCGAGAACAGCGAGGTGAGGCTGGCGGTGTACAACATCCGCTCGCACGCCTTCCGCGAGGTGGGCGTCACGCCCAGGCCTCGGGGCTTGCCGAGGGCGCCCCTGGCCCGAGGTGCCCCCGGCTCTCCGCTCCCTTCCGTAGCCCCCGGGGCCCTCTGGAGCTGCCGCGGCGTCGCGGCTCGTCTTGCCCTCCGCGGTGAGTCCATCCGCGGCGTCGCGTGCTCTCCCGCATCTGCGCCCGGGTTGGGGGCGTTCCCGGGGGGTGCCCGGAGCGTCCCGAGAACGGCCGCATGGAGGGCCGAGCTCTGGCCCTCGCGGCCGGCCCTGCGTGTCCTTGGCCGGAGGTGTCCCCAGCAGGGTCGGAGGAGGGGAAGGGTGCCCAGACATGATCGCGTCGCAGAAGATCAGGACGGGAGCTTTTCGCAGTTTTCGGCCCCTGGGGACCCTCGCCGGGCCCCGGGGACGTTGAGAAGCGACTCAGGACGACAAAGCGGCCCCGGGGAAAGGGTCGGGACTTCCGGGGACGCCGTCCTGAAAACATCCAGACGTCGCATGTCTGGGTACCCATACCTCTCCCCTTCGCCCGTTCTCCCCTGTTTGGGCCTCCTGGGAAGCCCTCGTCGCCACCGCTGGACTCGCCTCGACATCCTGGTCAGAACGCACCCCGGGAGAGGTCTGGGGAGTAGCGGTATCGGCCCAGACACGCGACGTCTTGATGTTTTCAGGACGGCGTCCCCGGATGTCCCGACCCCTTCCCCGGGGCCGCTTTGTCGTCCTGAGTCGCTTCTCAACGTCCCCGGGGCCGGGCGAGGGCCCCGAGCCGAGAATAGAGAAAAGCCTTCGTCCGGATTCTTTTTGCAACGCGATCGTGTGTGGGTGTTGGTGTCCCCAGCTGGTCGCTCCCGTCTCTGGAGCCCCTGGGGGGCCCTCTTCCGGGCCCCGCGAGGGGTGCTCTGCAAGGCTGCGGGGCCTCCTCGGAGATCCTGGGGGCTCCGTGGGCGCGGGGGGCGCCGTCGTCGTCGTCGTCGTCGTCGTCGTCGCCGTCGCCGTCGTCGTCGCCGTCGTCGTCGTCGTCGTCGTCGTCGTCGTCGTCGTCGTCGTCGTCGTCGTCGTCGCCGACGCCCAGGAAGTGGGCGGGCGAGGGCCTCCTCGGCGCTGTGCTGCGCTACGACGCGCTGGACGAGTTCGTGGACGCGTACGCCATCAGCGTGCAGTCGGTCGCGTCGAACTCGCCAGCCGAGACCGCGGGGCTGATCCCTCTCAAGGACTTTGCCACAGGGGAAAGGGTCATGAGGGAAACGGGCCCTGAGGTTTTTCGCCGTTTTCGGGCTCTCTGGGCCCTCCTCGGGCCCCGGGACTGTCAGAAAACGACTCAGGATGACGAGCTCGTCCTGGGGGACGGCCCCGGGGTCCAGGACCCGTTTCCTTCAGGACCTGTTGCCCTCGTGCTAAGGACTTCCCGCTGGGCACCGCGGAGGTGATGTTCCGGAACATCGACGACGTCTCCGAGATCGTGTCCGGCTGCAAGTGGAAGAACACGACGCTGTACGTGTACAACAGCGACAGCGAGAGCGTCAGGGAAGTGACCATCATGCCCTTCACAGGCTGGGGAGGCGACGACTGCCTCGGTGCAGACATGCGGCCTGTCGCGCTGCACAAGATCCCAGCGCCGAGGCAGTCCCAAGCGATGGCCAGGCCCGGCTGACGGGAGGTCCCGCCTTCTGTCCGTGCTCGCGTGACTGCAGTCCGCTCGAGCCAGGAGCGGAGAGGCCGAATGGCTGCTCGAGCGAGGTCCAGGGCTTGGCGAGAGAAGCGTATCCACCAGGCGTGACGCCATCCGCCTGCTTGGAGAAATAGGACTTGCTGGAGTTCGCGCGGGTTAGTGAAGAGCAGGCGTGGCTGCGAGCGGGGGGGCACGTTACACAAGACATGAGGCAATCATGTAGCAAGGCACGGAAGCATGCATCCGATGATGGGGGGGCAATCGCGCACGTGAGCCAGCATACGCATGCAAGCACGAAGTCACGCTCACGTGAGAATATGTGTTCCAGATCGGTCGCATCGAACCAGTTCTCCAATACGGAGCAGGAGCTCTCATAGGCAAGTGCATCTGAGCAACAGCGCTGAGGTGGAGTCAAACCGATTGTTTGATCACCACGCTGTCTTTTGTTCCCGCCTCGCCAGATCGGGAAAGTTCGAGCACTTCAGGCGGGATCGGGCTGCGCTGCGCAAAGGTTGGACATCGTTTGTGGAAGAAGAATACTTATAAGAGTCAGAATAGTAACGGTACTACTAATACTGGGAGCATACACTTATATATGTATGTATAGTGTTACGAGTTATACCAACAAGACGACGAATAACAACACTAATGCGAATATTTCTACGAATCGCAATATTCAGAAGGAAATATCGCTAACACGAATAATAAGAACAAGCGAAAGACAACGCGCCTGCATATACATAAGCTTTCGGAGGTGCGCGCGGAATTCTGGGATCGGCGCCGGACCATCTTAGCGGCGTCTCTGGCGCCGCCCTTGGTACGCTGCGCGCGCCAGGGAGGGGGTCCCAGCGCCTTGTCTCCCCCCTGCGCTGCCACTGGGGGGAGGCAATGGGGCGGGGGCTGCGCTGCGGACGGGGAATGGCAGAAGAGGTGAGGAGGAGGAGGAGGAGGAGGAGGGTTGAGGAGGAGGAGGAGGAGGAGGAGGAGGAGGAGGGAGGAGGAGGGAGGAGGAGGAGGAGGAGGAGGGTTGAGGAGGAGGAGGAGGAGGAGGAGGAGAGGAGGAGAGAGGAGGAGGAGGGAGGAGGAGGAGGAGGAGAGGAGGAGGAGAGGAGGAGGAGGGAGAGGAGGAGGAGGAGGAGGAGGAGGAGGAGGAGGAGGAGGGGCGGAGGAGGAGAGAGGCGGTGCCGGAGGCGCCGGGGGCCCAGCGCCGATCCGAGAAGTCCGCACGGATCTCTGGCAGTCTACACGTTTGTGCCGCTTGTCGCGCCTCGCTGCCGCCGTAGCTCGCCGCGCGCCTCGCTGCCGCCGTGGCTCGATCAGGGGTGGATTTGTCTCCCTTCCTCCACCGCGGGCCCCGCCGGGGTTCCGTGGCGCGAGCGGCTTGCCGCCCGCGCCCCGGGCGCAGCTGCTGGCCAGGCTCCGCTCCAGGGCTCAGCCCTGGGCTGCCGTGCGGGTCGCCATGCCGGATGAGAAGGCGGCTGGCACGATGCCAACTGTGATGGGCCGAGCTTCCATCACCACTACTATAGGTAGGACGGGGGAGAAGAGAGGATGGGTGGGCCCTGCTCCTGATTCTCCTCCTCCTCCTCCTCCTCCTGCTCCCTCTCCTACCTGTGGTAGTGGTGGTGGAACATCGGCCCATCCAACTGAGCGACGGAAGACAACGGGGCCGTCTTCACCGACATTGGCGCGTAAGCTGCCCGCGGGAGGTCGCGCAGAAGCGCCCTCGTTTCCAGAGGGGCCTGCCGCGCTGGCGGCCCTCGTAATTAAGCCACCGCGTCTGTGTCATCTCATGTACTGGTTTCTTTCTGCCGTCCAAGTCGAATCGAAGGAGAGACAACTGCATAAACATGATCTCTCGGAGCTCTGCGCGGGTTTCTTGGATCGGTATTGGGCCCCTGGCGCGCTCCGCGCGCCAGGGAGGGGGGTCCAGCGCCGATCCAAGAAATCTGCGCGGAGCTCCGACAAATCCCACCAGCCCTCTGGGCGTAGGTCGTCTAACGATGTCTGTCTTTCCTCTTCCGAAGCCCTTCTTCCCTCCGGGGAGTGGTACCCTCCCCCTCCCCTCCCAGGGGTCTGGACGGGGGGGTCGCGAGTCCTCAGAGGGCCTTTTTTCGCTCAAGATGGCCCCCACTTCCCTCATCAAGGCAGCTCGTCGGGGCATCGTTGCTGGATCAGCTGGTGGGGTTACGCGAAGCGTGAGGAGGACGGCGTACGATGCGGAGGACTGTATGAGCGTTGGCGTTGGAAAGGTCGTGTGCCGCGTGGCGCCGCCGTCCCGCCCACAGTGCACGCTGTCCCCCACCTCGGGGACGGCGCGCACCGAAGCGGCCCTGGCAGGGGGATGGCGTCCGCAGAGAGGGGCCCTCGCAGGGGGGGGATCGCCTCACAGGGACAGCCTGCTCTTCGGTCGTCGAGGTCGCACGCCGTCCTTCCAGCGCCAACCGCAGGAGAGGAAATAGGGGGGCGTCCAAGAGGGGGGCGAGGCTTAGGGGGGGGGAAATGATGGTTAGGGGGTTAGGGTTAGGGGGAGGGTCAGGGGGAGGGCTAGGGTTAGGGGGAGGGTTAGGGTTCGGGTTAGGGTTCGGGTTAGGGGGGAAACACTGGCTGGGGCCATTCAGGTTCCCCAGTCTCGTGGCCCGCTGCTCTTCTTTTATCATGTTCTGAGCCCCCCCTCGGCCGCGCACGTGCCTCGGAAGGGTGGAGGGAAAAAGGCGGGGGGAGAGGTGTCTCAAGAGATGGCCCGTCCAGACTGGAGCTGGGGTTGACCTTGTGACTTTTCGGTTCCAGAACATGAAGGTGCAGCTCTTTGCCGACACTGCTTGTGGGAAACGATGCTGACCTGGAGGTGCGGCAGATCTCCTTATAGTAGGGGCTGCTGGAAACGTTGCAGAGCCGTTATAGAGGACTCCCAAGCCGTGATACATCATGATCGGCGCATGCGAAAGGAAGACGTGGAGCCAGCACACGCGATGACTGATTCGACAAAGGACTCAGCCGGATTTGCCGAGGCAGTTGTCACACATTCCGGTAGCGGGGCTACATGTGTGTGTAGAGAGTTGTTCGAATCAATGTGCGGGGCTCCGCGAAAACATACATTGCCAAGCATGAGGGTGACAGAGCCCTCCAGGTACCAACCATTGGTATGTTAACATTATTTGAGGTGCGCTTCGTAGAGAGCATCAAATCTCCATGGCAGGGGCGCGAGCGACAAACGAATGTGCGAAGATCTCTCAACTTGAGCAGCAGGTGGTGGGCATGAGCACATCAACAGATATGTTCGAATGGGGACATGCTCCGATGCAGCCGACAGGTGAAAGTTTCCAGAAGACTCAGACACGACCGGACAACACTTTGAGGCCACCTGTTTAGGAGAAGCCAATGCCCGCGACGATAAAAGTGGGCAAGCGAAGGCATGTGGATACGACAACTGGAACGCTTCATTTGATGCCGATCTATGTGCAGTCGTTGTATGCGCAGCCAGGAAGTGGCATGTTAAGACAGGAAAAATCATGGTGGGGAACAGGCAGAGAACGAGCAAGGACGAGTACGAACTCTCGTTGGGAGGTCCGCGAATAGTGTTGATGGACATGCTCGAGTGTGAGCGGATCGGCAAGCTGAACGGGCCTCTGGGACGGCGAAGAGGGCGAAGTGTTTATAGGTGGTCAGCGGCCATCGGAATTATCATTCCCTCGCAGGAATTGAGGCACGCCTTAACTTGGGCAGACCTGAGAGGGCGGACAACACTGCGCATCCTACAGAGAACTCGCACGCGCAGATGGATAGACATGACACGTATGGACAATTCTGCGGGCTCGACTTTCCGTTCCGGGTCGTGGAGTCGACATTCATGGGGCGTGTTGTAATGTGTTCCAGCGTTTGGCAACAACCGTGCTTGAAGTTCTTGGCGCGATCAATGTGGACACCTACGCCAAATAGGTACACATTCGAAACAAAAAAGGCGCGGCACCGTGAACTTCACGCACATGCCAGCGCAGTTCCCAGATCCATCGTTGATGGAACAAGTAACGACATATTCAGTATTCGTGAAGAGTTGCGTGGTGCATGGAACGATTGGAATGCACCCGTGTATGTGCATGATATGAGGGCCGTGGCAAGTGCGGAGTTTGCTGCAGTCTTCAGAGGGTCATTTCGTATTTTGATCGAGGTCGAGGAAGCAGCTGACGCGGTAAGCAGGTGAGGAAATAAAAACAACATGAAGCCAAACGGTTCAATGGTGGAGTGTCGGGACATGTAGCCTGTGACCGCGCAAAGAGGGGCAAAGGATGCAAGGTGTCGAAGAGCAGAAGGATTCTCCGCAAGTTGCGTGCCCCCTGCGGCGCAGTGTCGAGGGGTGAGGGACAGTGCTGTGTATCTGGACAGACGGAACATGGAGTGGCGCAGTGCATGTTCCAAAGACCCTAGGTCTAGTTGGTGCGAACTAGGCAGCGGCTCGCGCGGGGGGCGGAGGGGAGAAGAGAAACAGTATGTGCTGGAGGGCAAGATTCTACATCGGATCGGGTTCGTTCTAGGTCATTAGGTCCTGCGCTGGAGATCACGACTCAAATGTCCCAGGATGTTGCGGCAGCTATGAGGCCTTCCGCTCAGGGGGGGGTAGTCGGGTTCAAGGATCAGGGCGAAGGTCAATGCAATGACACAGCACCGCCATGAAATAATACCACGCTGCCACGGGACACTGAGGGCAGCGGTTGACTAGTGGGGCATGTAATGCGCCTGGCTCGCCAACAGTGGTAACGTATTGTCCTGCCAATTCAGCCAACATGTCAACTGAAGGTGGGCTTGGTGCGGATGATGGTGAACAGTGCACATTGGATACTATTCGCAGATGACGATCAAGAGCGTTGATCGGCATGGGCAGCGCCGTACGTTGCCAGTGCATCATACTTCTCGAAGAAAGCATGCGGATCAACCGTAGGGATGGGTGAGGCAATGGTACGTGCATTTGGGGCAGGCGCGCGCAAATCATACCGCGCATTTGTCGAGTTCCCATGGTCGCGGGACACATGCAAGCAGGGACCGTCGGGGTCTGACGTCTCATCGAAGATGCAATGGCGCAGAAAAAGGGCATTCGAATGCTGAGGCATGGGCTGATGAGCTTTCAATTCGTTTGCAGAGAGGGGTTCTTGATTATCGCGGAAGTCTGACGGAATGCGATTCAATGTGGCCCAAGTAGTGCCGCACACCAAAAGCACTCGCTGACGTGTGAAGGGGGCTGCCAGGTGGAGGGAAAGGGTTGGGCGGCAAGTCGCCTGAGGAGGATGTGCAGATTGATCGCGCCTTGGTGGCACATGGGGGACATGATGCTGAAAGTGTTCAGGTGGGCATTGAGCCGCTCGAAGATGATATCCAGCAGTTGGGCGGCTTGACTGATCTGCTGTGCAGGAGTTGGTGCCCGCACTGCGTCGGAAAAGCCAGCGAAGGGTCCGTGCATGAGTGGTGCCATATCGCCGGTACCAAGGACACATTCTGGACGCATCCTTGGGATAAATGTACATGGGCGTCAAGCGTGGCGAGCGTGGACTGCAATGTACACGCGTCAAGCAGGAGTCTTTTTGTGCACCTGCAAGGGTATTGTCAACTGAGGAAGCGTATGACACGGCAGTTGCATTTCCGCATGAGAAGCTATTGTCCGCAGGCAGAGTTACAGATATGTGAAGGAGCGGCGATGGACCAGCGATGTGCGCTTTCTAGTCGGATTTCAAACATCAAGGATCGACGGAGAAGTAGAAACAGCCTCCAGGGTAACGCCGGTTTAATGAAGAAACCGAGAGGCGGCTTCCTTCATTAGGGCGTCAGCAGCTGATCTCCCCGCCGTTGTTGACAGGCGAGTTAGCTGGCCTTCTTCAAGCGCGCTCCTCGCCGAGGTGTGCGATTTTATTTTGTCGACGCCCATCCTGGCATGAGGGAGGGGAGGAAACATGATAATAATGGAGGATGACTGCCCTCTTTTTCTCTTTGCTGCCTGTTCTGTCACGCTGCCTTCAGTCGATCCTTCGTTAATTGAGTGGGGTTGTCCTCGCGCCTCATGTTATTGCAAAGAGAGGGAGGAAAAGGGAGAAGGAGGAAGGATATGGAGGCAGAGGAGAAGGGAGGCGGAGGACGAGGGAGGATGAAGGAGGAAGGGGGAGGGAGGAAGAGGGAGGGGTGAGGAGGAAGAGGAGGGAGGACGAGGGTGGAAGGGAGGGAGGAGGAGGAAGAGGGAGGAAAAAGGGGGAGGCAGATGGGAAGGAGAAGAGCATGACGAGGGAGGAGGGAGGAGGAGTGAGGATGAGCGAGGAAGGAGGAGGGAGGATGAGGGAGGGGGGAAGGCGGAGGGAGGAGGGTGGACGACAAGAGGCGACCGGCCGCGTGCTGCTGCCCGACGCCGTGCTGCCGAGCCGGTACGACTTGCGCCTTGCCCCAGACCTTGAGCGCTTCGTCTTCGACGGCAAGGCGCGAAGCCCGCGCTGCTGTCTCGGGGGGGCTCTGGCGGGGGCGCCCCTCCAGGGCGCCCTAAAGGGTCCGGGAGGGCGAAAAACGGTGTCGCGTAGCAGTAGTCTCCGTCCGGATCGCGCGGGTGATGATGATGATGATGATGATGATGATGATGAGGAGGAGAGGAGGAGGAGGAGGGAGAGGAGGAGGAGGAGGAGGGAGGAGGAGGAGGAGGAGGAGGGAGGAGAGGAGGAGGAGGAGGAGGAGGAGGAGGAGGAGGAGGGGGAGGACGAGGAGGGAGAGAAGGAGGAGGAGGAGGAGGAGGAGGAGGAGGAGGAGGAGGAGGAGGAGGAGGAAGGTTTAGGAGGAGGTTTAGGAGGAGGGTTTAGGATGAGGAGGATGAGGAGGAGCAGGAGGAGGAGGAGGAGAAGGAGGAGGAGGAAGAGGAGGAGGAGGAGGACGAGTAGGAAGAGGAGAGGGAGGAGGAGGAGGAGGAGGAGGACGAGGAGGAGGGAGAGAAGGAGGAGGAGGAGGAGGAGGAGGAGGAAAAGGAGGAGGAGGAGGTGGAGGATTCATAATGATGATAATTCGAATTCGATGAATAATAATCAGAAGAATAATGTTACGAATAATACGAATGATAGTGCTATTATCAATAAGAATAGTCGTAAGACTACTCATACTAATATTAAGAGTAATATTGTTTTCATATACGTAATAGTACAAATAATAACAAGACTACTAATACTACTAATTATAATTTTCATCATGCTAGCACCACCAAAAAACATCACAACAATACGAGTAATAACGCTAGTAACGATAATGATAACAAGACCATTAATAATAGTTACAACAATAATGATAGCAACGCTAATGTTAATAAGCGTACTAATTTTGATAATGGTAGTATTAATATGCGCAATCGTAATAGTACTACGAATACCAATGCGAACCATATTTGTATCATAACTAATGATAGTGCTAATCGTACTAGTACTACTCATACGGATAATACTAAAACGAATAAAAACAAGAATATCAACATCAATAACAATAGTAACACTAATCATCAACATACTAGTAAGGGTAATTATTCTAGTAATCATACTAATAGTAGTAGTAATATTGAGATCACTAGTATTTCGAAAAATAATGATATTACTATTGCGAATGCTAATACATATGCGAAATGAATATTATTTCTATCATTAATACTAATACCAATACTACTACTACTAATACGATTACTAATGCGAATACTATTGCTAATACTAATACTAATATTCGTACTAATACTAAACGTTATACGAATACTAATACTTTTACTAATACTAGTACTAATTCTACTTCTACTTCTGATACTAATACTCATACTAATACAAATACTGATACGAATACTAATACTAATACCAATGCTAATATTACTACTAATACTAATACTAATACTAATACTAACACTAATACGAATACTAATACTAATACTAATACTAATACTAATACTAATACTAATACTAATACTAATACTAATACTAATACTTATACTAATATTATTACTAATACGAATACTATTACTACTACTACTACTACTACTACTACCATTAATACTAATACTAATACTAATACAGAGACTTCTGATCGTGATACTAGTAATAATATTAATGCCAACATTAACAACTATTTATACGAATGCTAATGTTAGAAGTAGTAGTAGTAGTAGTAGTAGTAGTAGTAGTAGTAGTAGTAGTAGTAGCAGTAGCAGTAGCAGTAGCAGTAGTAGTAGTAGTAGTAGTAGTAGTAGGAGTAGGAGTAGGAGTAGTAGTAGCATCAGCAGCAGCAGTAGTAGTAGTAGTAGTAGTAGTAGTAGTAGTAGTAGTAGTAGTAGGAGTAGTAGTAGTAGTAGTAGTAGTAGTAGTAGTAGTAGTAGTAGTAGTAGTAGTAGTCATAGTATTACTAGTAGTAGTAGTAGTAGTAGTAGTAGTCGTAGTAGTCGTATTAGTCGTAGTAGTAATAGTAGTAATCATGACAATATTAATAGTATTATTAATATTATTATTATTACTACTACTACTACTGATACTACTTCTTCTACTACTCCTACTCCTTCTCCTTCTACTTCTACTTCTACTACTACTACTACTACTACTACTACTACTACTACTACTACTACTACTACTACTACTAGTACTACTAGTACTACTAGTACTACTACTACTACTACTACTACTACTACTACTACTACTACTACTACTACTACTACTACTACTAATTATCATACTACTAATACTACTACGAATGCTACGAATAATCATAAAAACGATACTATTGCTAAAAATACTACTAAGAATAATATCAAGAATGCTACGAACAATGATAGCAACAATAATGAGAAAAAGGAGGGGGAATGAGGAGAAGGAGGAGGACGAGGACGAGGACGAGGAGGAGGAAAATGAGGGGGGGCGGAGGAGGAGGAGGAGAGAGGAGGAGAGGAGGAGGGAGGAGGGAGGAGGAGGAGGAGGAGGAGGAGGAGGAGGAGGATTGAGGAGGAGGAGGAGGAGGAGGAGGAGGAGTACGTAGGAGGAGGAGGAGGAGGAGGAGGGGGAGGAGGAGGGTTGAGGAGGGGGCGGAGGAGCGGGGCGGCCTCGCGAACGCGCGCGCCTGGCCGTCGTGGGCCGAGGGGCCGGTGGGGAGAGGTGCACACGGGGCGCCGGGACGCCGGGGAGGTCTGCGTGGGCCGCTCTCAGAGGCGACGATGGGGGCGAATCTCTCAGGGTCGGGCATTGCACGCATTCGCCAGGGATCGGACGGGGCTAGGACGAGGATCAATCCCTTCCGGGGCGTTCCGTAACGCTCTCCGAGCGTTCCGGAACGCTCCGAGAAGGTCGCGGCGCCCGAGACATCCTCCAGAGCCGCCAGCTTTCAGAGCTTCTCGATTCATCCTCGCCCAACTTCATCCTCGTCCTGGCCATCTTGCCCCCCGACCAGACGCAGGGAGGGGGGGTGGAGGTAAACCTCCCCGACCAGAGGGAGGAAAGAGGTTGGAAACGGAAGCGCCCTAGACCACCTGCGCCCAGAGGTCCGGTGGGATTCATCCTCGCCCCGGCTTCGTCCTGCGGGAGCCTCGCCGGCGCCCCTGGCTGCATTTTTACCTACCTAAGGTCTGCCTAGAGGGTTCTTACTTTGTTTGCTTAAAGGGGCCGGGCAGTGTAAAACGCCCTGGGCGGTTCCCCCAGTCCCCGCCCCGCGGTTCCCCCATGATCCGCCCCGCGGTTCCCCCAGTTACGTCCATTGGGTTCACCCAGCTTAGCTTAGCTAAACTAAGCTTAGCTTAGCTTAGCTGAACTCATCTCATCTTAGCTTAGCTTAGCTTAGCTTGGCTTAGCTTTGCCTAGCCTAGCTCAACTTAGCTTAGCTTAGCTTAGCTTCAGCTTAGCCTAGCTTAGCTTATCTCATCTTAGCTTAGCTTAGCTTAGCTTAGCTTAGCCTAGCTTGGCTTAGTTTAGCTTAGCTTAGCTTAGCTTAGCTTAGCCTAGCCTAGCTTAGCTCAGCTTAGCTTAGCTCAGTCTAGCATAGCTTAGCTTAGCTTAGCTTAGCGCAGCGCAGCATAGCGCAGCGCAGCATTAGCACAGCATAGCATAACATAGCATAGCCTAGCATACCATAGCATATCATAGCATAGCATAACATAGCATATCATAGCTCAGCATAGCATAGCATAGCATAGCATAGCATAGCATATCATTACATAGCATAGCATATAATCGCATAGCATAGCGCAGCATATCATAGCATATCATGGTATAGTATTGCTTAACATAGCACAGCGCATCATAGCATAGCATAGCACCGCATATCACATCATATCATAGCATAGCATAGCATAGCGCAGCATATCATATCATACCATATCATGTCATATCATAGCAGAACGCATCATATCATATCATACCATAGCCTAGCATAGCATATCATATCATAGCGCATCATGTCATATCATAACATAGCATAGCGCATCATAGCATATCATAGCACAGCATAGCATAGCCTAGCATAACACAGCGCAGCCGAGCGTACCCTAGCATAGCATAGCGCAGCATAGCATAGCGCAGCATAGCGCAGCACAGCGCAGCATAGCAAAACAAATCATAGCATGGCATAGCATAGCATAGCATAGCATAGCATAGCATAGCGCAGAGTAGACGGCATGTACATGCAGGTGTAGATGTACATGTAGCTGTCGGTGTAGATGTAGATGGTGCTTTCGGAAATGCTCCCACTCCTAGGCAGGGTCGCACTGGGACAATGCAGCTGCTCTCCCCGGGGGCCCCTCGCCCCCCCCTCGTCGCCCCCGGGGCCCCCCCCGTGGGAGCTCGGCGGCGGCAGCGGGGGCGGGCACGGCCCACGGGGGGAGCCGCTGCATGCGGCCCACGGGCTCCGCTCGCCCGTGCCTGCGGCGAGGCTCCGCGGGGCCTGCGTGCGAGGCCCGCCCCTGGGCGGTCCGCCCGTCGCTCTGCCTCCGCCGGGGGGGGCGCCCTCTGCGGGCCCCTCGCGGCGGCAGGTCCGACGGCAGAAGGTCCGCCTCGGCATCGCTCCCGTCAGGAGGAGACAGAACACGCACACACACACAGGTCAGAGGGCGAAGGGCCACCCCCACCCCCAGTCCCGACTTCCGTCCCCGAGCCGGCGATTCAAGGGGTCGGGACTGGGGGTGTGGGGGGGGGGGTTCTCCATTCTTGGGCCCCGAAAAGCCCCCCACCCCACCCCCAGTCCCGACCCCCTGGGTCGCGGGTTCCGGGATAGGGGTCGGGACTGGGGGTGGGGGTGGCTCTTCGCCTTCCCACACCGACTTTTGACGTCGGCGGCCAGGCAGAGTCACTGCGCTGGCGATGGAGCGTTAGTGGGATGCACGGAACGCGAATTGGGCCGCCATGCGCGGGGGAGAGAGGAGGACGCCCGGCGCGGGCACACGCACAGACACAACCTGTCGTCGATTCCCAGGATCGTATGGGAAATATGGG